TCTATTTAATAACTGGATATTCTGTACTTCTTCTTCTTCTTCTTCTTCCACATAATTGCCTCCTTCGTCTTATCGAAGATTATGCAATGTTTATGATACACAATGCACAGGTGAACACACAATTGAAAAGTTTAGATTGTAAAAGTGAAAAAGTAAAAAACACTGATGTAGTGTCAGACGTTAAAAGCTGGTTGATTCGACCAACCAGCCTTAAGCCTAGTGAGTTCGGGGTCTGTTAGAAGTTTAAGCTTTTTTAGTTCCAATTCGTTGAGAGTTTTCTTAAAGGTTTCCAAGTTTGTCGAGTTCACAGTTTTTGAGTCAAGTTCGTTCCAGTCTTTTATTGTTCGAGGGAAGAATGAATATTTTCTTGGGTCTATTTTACATGCCTGAATTTGGTAGGACCGATCGTGTTGTTTTCTGGACCTCCTCATTGGTGTTTCTATTCGGTTTTCCTTTTTGATGGCTATTTGTTGCTTGTCAATTTTGAACATCATATGGAGTCTTGAGTGACGTCTTCTTGTTTGGAGTGAAAACCAGCCTAGGCGTTGGATCATGGATGAAACGCTTGAACGGTTTCTGTGGCTGTTCATAATAAATCTGCTTCCAGAATGTGACCATGGAGGGTGTAATTATGTTTTATCGTCTGCTTTTTGTTAAAGATGGTTAGCACTGTGCATTTATTTGGGTGGAACATCATGCACCAGTCTTCTTCCCACTTCGCAAGTTTGTCCAGATCTTTTTGGAGTGTTTCGGCATCATTTTGATTGGTGATTGTGAGGTAGGCAATCGTGTCATCAGCGAATAGTCGTACGGATGATGTTAGTTTTTCCTGTAGATCATTGATGTAGAACAGAAATAGTCCCGGTCCTAGGACTGATCCTTGTGGTACCCCGGAGTCCACATTTACTGTGTCTGATTTTTCACTGTCAATGATAACTTTTTGGGTTCTGTCTTTTAGCCAGCTGCTTATCCATGTGTTAAATTTTCCAGATATTCCGTAGGTTTTTAGTTTATGAATTAAGAGGCTATGATTGACTTTGTCGAAAGCTTTTGCGAAATCCATGATTAGAATATCAGTTTGTTTGGCGGATTGAAGATTTTTGGAGACATCATCAACAAATTCGATTAGCTGGGTTTCACATGATCTGTTTTTCCGGAATCCATGTTGGAGAGGATAAAGGATGTTGTTTTCTCCATGGAGCATAATGGTACTCGCGATCATGTGTTCCATGACCTTACAGCACACTAAGGTGAGAGATATTGGCCTGTAGTTTTCCGCTTGAAATTTTTGCCCTTTTTTGTATACAGGGGTGACATTTGCTGAACGCCAGTCAACAGGGACGATTCCAGTGTCCAGTGATTTTTGGTAGATTAACTGGAGAATTTGGGCTATGTCGCTGGAGAGCTCCTTTAGTACACGGGGTGAGATGTTGTCAGGGCCTGGAGCTTTGTGTGGGTTTAATTTCCAAAGTAATTTCTCTATTCCTTTGGTGGTGATTTCAGGTTCCTTGGTTGACTTGGATTTGGCATCTGTGAAGAGTTTTCCATCTAGCTTTAGTGATGTAATTCCGACATTGTCTTTCTTTTTTATATTTGATATATGTCCAAAATCGTTTCATTCAAGAGTAGGTATTGTCTTCTTCCTTGGGTGTTACTATGTTTTCAATGTATTTCCAATATGCTTGTCTGGATGATTTTTGAATTTGTTTTTTTAGTTCCAAGTATTGGGCGATATGTTGTGGGTCACCCGTTTTCTTTTTTCTTTTGTAGAGTCTTTCCTGTCTCTTAAGTTGTTTTTTGAGTTCCATTCCGATCCACGGCATCCCGTCTTTATTTTTCGTATGTTTGTGTGGAATGTTCTTGTTTACCGTTGCCTCTATAAGTGATTTGAAAGAGTCCCACATTTTTGTGACTTCACATTGGCCATCTTGAAACATAGCAGTCATGTTTGGGAGGAGGTCACTGTGATCTTATTTCATCGCAGCCCAGTTTGCTTTTTTGTAGAGGGGTATTTGTCTCGGCTTTTGTCGGTGGATCACTGGTCTAAAATCTACCTCTGCATAAACAATTTCATGGTCCGAGATTCCTGGTAGGACGTCAGTTCTTGTTACTTTGCTTGGACAGTTTGTCAGTAGAAGATCCAGTGTGTTTGTTTTCCTGGTGTTTGTTTCGATGTGTTGGACAAGATGGTTTTTGTCGATTTAACTCCTGAATTGATTGTGGAGGTGAGGATGGGCGGTGTTTGGTTTCAGTGTGTTGTTTTTCCAATCCCAGCCTGGAAAGTTGAAGTCCCCTCCTATGACAATTGCTGCGTTTTTATTTGATGATGCTCGGGCGATGGAAATTTCGAAGTTGATCAAACTGTCCTCGTCTGAAATGTGCCGTCTGTAGTAGGAACACATGTAGATGTTCGCCGTTCCTTTGATGTCAATCTTAACCCAGACTATTTCACAGTCAGTGTCTAGATCTGGGACAAGTTCGCTGCTGTAATCTTGTTTTACAGCGATTAGTACACCTCCTCCTCCGGATGATGTTCTGTCCTTTCTATGTAGTACATAGCCTTCAGGGCATACTTCAGCGTCTTTGATATCGGGTGTTAACCACGTTTTTGTACCAATGATGATGTCTGGTTTGACGCTTTCTACTACATTTGCTAGTCTGCATTGCTTGCTCTTGATTGATTGAAAGGTGATATTTATAATTCTGAGTGGGGCTTTATTTTTGTTGCGCGGCGGCTTCCTTGTTGGAGTTGATGTGTGGATTGGTTTAGTTTTTGGTCTAGCGTCTGGACTCGAGAGTGATGGATCATTTAATGTTGATGTTGAGAATGTTGTTGATTCAGAGCTTGTGAGGTTGGTTTGATTAACTGTGGTGCCACAGTTGGGGCTATTACAAAGGATGCAATGCCAGCTGATGTCCAGTTCAGAATCCTCGAGTTGGTTGTAGGAAACAGTGTTGATGTTTTGACATGATGCGTGGTACCATTGGTCACATGTTTCACATTTGATTCCTTTCTCTCCCCAGTCAACGGTCTTATCGCATGTCCCACAGTCGTATTGCCTTTCGTCCTGGTAGGTGTCATTTGGTCCAGGATTGAGGTTTATGTCGTTAGCATTTGATAACAGGGTTATAATTAGGTACGCCAAAAGCGACCTTTTCTTGGATGGGCATGAACTAGCTAATAGACAGCGTTTTAGAATGACGTTGGTGAGCAGGTGATTGTCGATATGGCTAATTGGTTGGACGATGTTTTCGAATATGACAGCATATGGGTTGTGTAGTTTATTGATCACACAACTCTAGGTAGCAGTCTGTCTCACTTTTAGTTCTTTAAACAGTATTTCAACAACCATATTCCCTAACAACCATATATTCCCTAACAACCACCACATAGATACATCAACAGAAACATCTGAGAGATAGGAATTCTGTCACAAATACTTTAGAAGATGACCCGTAAAAGGGTTTTTTAATTCCTTTGGTCTAGGGAGGTTTAGTTAAAATCCTTTTAACCATTCTGAACAAATATCCTTTTAAAGGAAACATTCTTGACTAATGTCTTTTAAAAGGAAAAAGGTTTTTTATTTAATGCAGTATCTTGGGCTTAATATCTCTGGGCCAGAAAAACTAAAAGGCAGCCGTTTGACTTAATAGCAAAATTGAAAAAAATCAACGAACAACCTTTGAATATTTCAATAACAACAGGATTTTACAGAATCTACATTGATGTTATGCTGTAAATATTCACATTTTTTTTAGGGAAAAATGATAATATCATGAAAGGGGTGAGCAAAATACACTACATTGAGTTTTGATCACCTGTGCTTGGGATGTACAGCTGAACATTATACATTCACTTTAACACTGATAGTCCTAATAGGTCAAAAAGAATCATTTTTGTTTAAGGGATCTTATTTACATAGCACATGCACACACATACCTCCATTTTACTAGACTATCTAGAAACTCTTATTTTAACAAGAGGCCCAAGAGGGCCTGTATCGCTCACCTGAATATTTAAGCAGTCATAGCAAAATATTCTCATTAAATGTCATATTGCACTAAAAATATTTCCCTCGCAAACTTTGTTGGCTCTATCTGTTGAAACTACCAGCAAGATATTATTATAAGATTCTATGCTTTTTGATTCTTCAGAAGTTGCTTGACACAATTTTCCCTGTGACCTTGTAAGTAGGTCAATGTCATTTTCCTTCTCAAATTGGTTAGCTCTATTCCAAAAGCTACCAGACAAATCTGATGAATCCATTCCTTTTAGTTCTTAAGAACAAATCCATTAAAATGTTGTTGACCTCTGTGACCTCTTAAGTAGGTTGAGGTAATTTTCATTCGCAAACATTGGTGAGCTCTATCCCAGGAAGTCACCAGCCAAATATTAAGATTTTATACCTTTCAGTTCTTCAGGAGAAGTTGTTCTAAGCGTTAGTCATATCTGACTCCTGTGACCTTTAAAGTAGGTCAAGGTCACTTTCATTCGCAAACTTTGTTGGGCTCTTTCCCAGGAAATAACCAGCAAAACATTAAGGTTCTATAACTTCCAGTTCTTCAGAAGAAGTCGCTAGAAGTGTTTGACATATCTGCCTCATGTGAACTTAAAAGGAGGTCAAGGTCATTTTCATTCTTAAACTTTGTTGGGCTCTTTCCTAGGAAGCTACAAGCCAAATATAAAGATTCTATACCTTTCAGTTGATAGACCAGAAATGTGTGTTGACTTACCTTCTCATGGACGAGGTTGAACCTGGCCAGAGTGAGGATGAGACAGACCAGAAGTGTGTATTTTGGGAAGGGCGTGTGTGTTGTTTTATCTTCTGATGGACGAGGTTGAACCTGCCGAGAGTGAGGATGAGACTGACCAGAAGTGTGTATTTTGGGAGGGTGTGTGTGTTGACTTACCTTCTGATGGACGAGGGTGAACCTGGCCAGAGTGAGGATGAGACAGACCAGAAGTGTATGTGTTAGGAAGGGTGTGTGTGTTCACTTACCTTCTGATGGACGAGGTTGAACCTGCCCAGAGTGAGGATGAGATAGATCATCACCAGGGAGAATCCTGTGGACAGTAGGTTCACATCAGCATCCACAGCTCCATAACCCTCATCATCAAAACTGTAATAACAGAATGTGACACACAATACATAAATCAATATACAATTGTTACAATAGGCCCAATGTTACTTTATTGCTCACCTGTCATTTCTTTCACATGTGACCTTCAAAAATAGTCCAGGTCAAATTTATTCAATTAGGCAAAACATCAGTAGTTTATTGGTCTTTGTCAGAATATTTTCCTACTGTTCACCTTACTTTAAAGTTTGGCTAATCTGACCTTCAAAGTTAGTTGGTTTATGTCATTAATTAATGATTCCTTATTTATATTACTTAACACCATTAAGCCACATGCCAAATATCATGAACTTAGGTCCCTAAGTGGTTCTTCATAAGAAATGATGTCAAAGTTTTAACAAATTTGGCCCATGTGATTTTAAAAGGCATGCTACTTGCCAAATATCCTTACCCTAGGCTTCTTGATTTTTCAGAAAAAAGTTGAAGAAGTTCCTCAAAGATTTTAATTCATCTGACCTTTGTGACCTTTAATGTGGGTCTTTGTCATTCATTTGAATACATATGACAGCCCTTCACCTCAGAATCCAACTGACCAAATATCATCAGCCTAGACTTCTTGATTATTCAGAAGAAAATGTTCAAAGGTTTTAACTTGTTTAACCTCTGTAACCTTTAAAGTTGGTCTATGTAATTCATTTGAACACATTTAATAGCATCCATCTGACTAAACATTATCAGCCTGGGCAGCTTCGTTCTTTAGAACAAGTTGTTTAAAGGTATTAGCAAACTTGACCCTTTGACTTTGAAAGCTAATCAAGGTCATCTATCTGAACGAACTTGATGTTCTTTTATCCCTGCATCCTACTGATCAAATACCATGACCCTAAGCCTCTTCATTCTTCAGAAGAAGATGTTTGAACACATTTGACAACTGTGACCTTCAAAGTTGGTCAAGATCATCCATCCGATTCATTGTCCGAAGTCCCATACATAAACTGTAATGGGTCTAAAACTTGACTTTGGAAGAGTTAAACATACAACAAGAAGTACATCTGCGCTAGTGGTAAAGGGAGATAATTCACATTAAAAAACCCTCAAATGTACAACTAATTAAAGAGATGGATTTGTACCAACATATCGTTTCAATCTAGAAACAGGCACAAGGGAGACTAATCCTTTCAAAAACAGACACACTTGACAGACAGCAGTTATTTATCTATGCTAACAAACTCCATCAGTACAGCCTCTAGGTACAAACCAATTGTTTAGACTTGCATCTATATTTATTTAAGTGAACTTCTCCAGGAATTAACATGTGACAGTTATTGATACTAGTTAAGTACACTTGAACATTACAACAGTTGCCAGGACGATACAGGGGTTATTTGGTGCTTTGGTCTTCTAGTGCAAAAAAATCCATGCTGAAGCTTCAGTTCACTGGAGGTCTTAATTCCCCAGAAAATTCATGAACATTAATCTCTCCTTATAGATTAGTAAATATTGAACCCCACCTGTCAAAACTTTGTACCAACAACAATAATATGTTATCATTATCATCACCATGTATACAGGAAATCCATCAGAAATTCTCAAACATTGGTAACAAACTTTGGTCTTGACCTCTGGCATTGTAAACACATCTTAGCCTACACCTCTGATAGTGTTAACACATCTTGGCCTACACCTCTGACAGTGTTAACACATCTTGGCCTCTGACATTGTTAACACATCTTGGCCTACACCTCTGACATTGTTAACACATCTTGGCCTATACCTCTGACATTGTTAACACATCTTGGCCTACACCTCTGACAGTGTTAACACATCTTGGCCTACACCTCTGACATTGTTTACACATATTGGCCTACACCTCTGACATTGTTAACACATATTGGCCTACACCTCTGACATTGTTAACACATCTTGGCCTACACCTCTGATAGTGTTAACACATCTTGACATATACCTCTGACATTGTTAACACATCTTGGCCTATACCTCTGACAGTGTTAACACATCTTGGCCTACACCTCTGACAGTGTTAACACATCTTGGCCTACACCTCTGATAGTGTTAACTCATCTTGGCCTCTGACATTGTTAACACATCTTGGCCTACACCTCTGACAGTGTTAATACATCTTGGCCTACACCTCTGACACTGTTAACACATCTTGGCCTACACCTCTGACAGTGTTAACACATCTTGACATATACCTCTGACATTGTTAACACATCTTGGCCTATACCTCTGACAGTGTTAACACATCTTGGCTTACACCTGTGACATGTGACAACATACCTGAGTAACATAGTTTCTATGCTTCTATTAAGAACCTATATTGACACTATTTTTCTTTTTATTTAAGAATTAATTAAGTGATTCCTTCTAATGTCACTGCTGCTAATTACATTTTAATCAAAACAGGAAAGAACTGGAGCAGAATAATAATTAATACACAGAGAGGAGTTGTGTGCTGTACTAATTGTGAACAATGGCTACTGTACAGTAACAAGTGGTGAGAAATCACACAAGCTCACAATGTAGTGAACAATGGCTACTGTACAGTAACAAGTGGTGAGAAATCACCCGCGCTCACAATGTAGTGAACAATGGCTACTGTACAGTAAACAAGTGGTGAGAAATCACCCAAGCTCGCAATGTAGTGAACAATGGCTACTGTACAGTAACAAGTGATGAGAAATCACACAAGCTCACAATGTAGTGAACAATGGCTACTGTACAGTAAACAAGTGGTGAGAAATCACTAAAGCTCAAAATGTAGCCCAACAGTTTACAAGATAAATCACTGTATAGTCCAAACTTTATCAGATCAAAAAGTTCACCATGAAGTCCACACTTTACAAGATATCATAACAAAAGTTTACTATATAGCCCACATTAAATCAAATTTTAATCACACAAGCTCACTTTAAGCCATTACTTTAACAAGATTTAATCATCAAAATTCCCTATATAGCCCACACTTTATCAAAATGTAAATCACACAAGCTCACTACGAAGTCCACACTTTACAAGATATAATCACAAAAGCTCACTATATTGCCAACACTTTACCAGATCTTAATCACACAATCTCACTTTAAGCCCACACTTTAACAAGATTTAATCACAAAAATTCACCATATAGCTCAACACTTTACCAAATATGAAACACACAAGCTCACTATATAGCCTGACCCTTTACCAGATCTTAATTACACAAGCTCACTTTATAGCATGACCCTTTACCAGATCTTAATTACACAAGCTCACTATATAGCATGATCCTTTACCAGATCTTAATTACACAAGCTCATAATATAGCCCAACCCTTACCAGATTTAATTAATACAAGCTCACTATATAGCCCAATCCTTACCAGATTTAAATCACACAAGTTCACTATATAGCCTAACCCTTTACTAGATTTAAATCACACAAGTTCACTATATAGCCCAATCCTTTACCAGATTTAAATTGCACAAACTCACTATATAGCCCTACAAATACCATATTTATACAAAATATATCTTATAATTTTATTTTTCTCCATTTATTATTTTGTTTCATTATGGAGCTTTTTTATTACTTTTTTTCATTCCTTACACAATTGGTTATTGCTATAAAGATGAATATTTAAGAAAAATAATGTACATAGGATTACGGTCGCCTTCTAGCTTCGAGCTAGAGGGAATTTGCCTTTAGCTGAATGGTAGAGCGCCCAACTGGGAACCTAGGGATCTCAGGTTTGATCCCCGGTGAAAACACACTATTCCCTTTCCTGTTACAAATGGTTTTCATGGCCTTCCCTGTAGTCACAGGGAGTTAGAACCTGGGTTGTGGTGTTGGAGGGCAAACACATTTAAAAAGAGGGAAGTAGTGTGGCAGTTTTTAATTGTACATAGGATTACGGTTCCCTTTAGCTCTATGGTAGAACCTAGGGATCGCGGGTTTGATCCCCGGTGTCATGCATAAAATGTACCTCCTGCTTAAATAGTATCCGGATACTTTTTATGCAGAATAAAAAGTATCCGGATACTTTTTATACCCCTACCAAAAAGTACCCCCCCTGTATAAAAAGTACCCCCCTATGAAAAAACCAGATGTTTCAAAAAATTTAATCAATAACAGTTCAGAAGTTGATTAGAAGGTTACAGTTGCATGTTTATTCACCCCTACCCCACCAATACCCACCCCGGGGCCAGGAAATTATGCCAATTTTTTTTTTAAACACTGGACACAATAAGGTTTTGGGACTCAAGTAGAAACATTTACATTTATGTTATAGTCATTACCCAACCTTTATTTAATTCCCCACCCCCCGGATACTTTTTATACACCCGACCAAAATGTACCCCCCGGATACTTTTTATACCCTGACCAAAAAGTACCCCCCTATAAAAAAATGATTTTTCTCTTTTTTTTTTATCCAATTGAGTTCAGAACTTGAACAGGACATTACAGGGGAATATTAATCCACCCCTACCCCACCAATCCCCACCCCCGGGGCCAGGAAATGATGCCAAAATAATTTTTAAACACTGGTTTGGAGAGTCATGAAGAAACATTTACAGTTATGTTATAGTCATTACCCAACCTATATTCAATTCCCCACCCCCCGGATACTTTTTATACACCCGACCAAAATGTACCCCCGGATACTTTTTATACCCTGACCAAAAAGTACCCCCCTATGA